GGTTGGCCTGAGCGTTCTTTATCATTGACATCAAAATCACCACTCTTAAATCGCTGAAACCATACTTGGCATGTTCTTTCCGATGGAGCATAATTGCCATAAACTTCGAAAAGCAATTTATGAGCTGCAGCTGCAAGTTTTTTTCAAGTCAAAGTAATGAAGCAGCACATGTCGAAAAAACAACTTATCACGTTCCATATTTAATCAAAAGAAAAAATAGCACTGCTCGCTTAAATGAATCTCTTCGCACTGAATTTTATTGACAAATGTCTAACCTCTAAAATGCAGCCAGTTTCAGATGTCAAAATAAATTACACCTACAACTAACGTCATCTAACTGTGAGCCGCAGGAACTAAGTTTACCACCTAATACTATCTACTCAAATATGGTTCATATGAAAAAACGAAAAATGGATACTACAAGAAGACAATGCTTCTAAACATCGAAGTCGCTTTTGTACCGCGTAGAAATAAGAAAATAATGTTGAATTACTGGATTGACCGTCACAGACACCGGTTGCAAATCCTATCGAAAACGTCGTTTGGTCCTTAATGAAGTTTAAACTTCGTGGAAAGAAAATTTGGTCGGTCAAGGAGTTAGTTCGACAAATTTGAGTGATATGGAGATTTTTACCTTAAGAATATGCCATAAAATTAGTTGAAAGTATGTCTCGGAAATGCCAGGAAATTATTAATAATGAAGACGACTGGACAAGTTATTAATAATAAAACATCACAATTCTAATCAAGTAATATATTTGTATTTTACGCCAAATCATTTCAATAAATTATACAGGCCCATAATTTAAAAAAAGTTGTCTGTTCTGGGGGTCTGACTAGGTGTACTGTACGTATTTTGGGCTGCTGAATCCAAATCTGGTGTCAGATTTGCTCCATCACTCTTGAGTTTCCCGGAAAATCGAGGAAATCTTGAAAAGAAGCAGATATCCATGTTTTTACGGAGACATGTATTCAAAGAATATTCTAGAGTAACGAATAACTCTATAACCTCACA